TGACTTTACGCATATCGAATTTATTAGTAGTACCCTTTAGGATGATTAAACATTTAACGTCGGAAAAAAAATCTGTTATAGATAAAAGTAACCGATCATCCTTTTGATCATCATATATTTTAATATTCGACTCGGTTACAATGTTTTAAACGTCGGGGATGTTTATACAATAAAATTAATGCATAAAATATAATTATTCCTTAAGGGCTTCGTCTGGCAACGAGAGTCGTGTCCAGGTTATTTNTACTAGCAGGTGGGCCCGGCGCTGCTCGGGCAAAAGTAACGATAACTAAGATAAAGATTATTACGTTACAGTCAACCTGAGACATTTGTCTTATTTGTCTATTGGTTAATCCGGTTCACTGCGTTCAATATACTGTATTTGTATCAACTTAATAAATGTATAGAAATACAATGAATTTCTTGATTATTTTCAAACTTACAATTATGAATAAAAGTCTAAACGTTTTAGGACTGAAATCTAGGAAATTTTCAATAGGAGAACGAATATTTTATAAGAAGCTTTTGTTTGCTTTGTAAGTAATAAACGGGGAAAAATGTAGACTGAAAATAATTCGAAAATATTATTTTTTGTGCTATTTTTAGATATAAAAATATTTTCTTTCTTACCTCTCTTCAAAACAGTGTTTGCTTTAAAGTACACATCCTCGAAACTTTTATATTGCATGACATATCAATAAAAACAGTTGCGAGTGGTCACACTTGAAGTTTTAAGTCCTGAAGTTACCTGATCAGCAAGTTTGAATATGCAGTGACACAGTTCAACAGAGCCCTTAAATTTAAATTTTTAAATCTTCATGCTGACAATTTATGAAGGATTTTTCATAGAAAAACTAATATTTTCTATTATGTTACTATCATTAACATCGTATCATTTAAATTATATGAAAGTTTATTGTATTATTATTTTAATACTTTAAATTAGCATATACAGAATAAAGAACTTATGATAATGTGTCCAGAGGGTTGGCACCTCTTTAGTGTCTCGTCAGGACTGACACCACTGTGTCTTCAGGTGAGACACAGAAACCTTTACANGACATCTTATCTATCCAAGCTGATGCTGATATTTAATGAAAAATGTATTATTTTACCTGTCTTTCATTCTCGATATATCCTAAATAATGTTTTTATTAATATAACTCATTTAACGCATTTTAAAATAATAAATGTTATTAATTCATGCTAAAAGAATAAAGTTTGGCTGAGAGAAGCAGTTAATCCTTTATAATCAAAAAGTAAAATTATATAAATATATTTTAAATTATCTATCCTAAAATTTTAAAATGAAAATATTAAAAGTTAATTGTTGTAATAGCATCTTTTTACTAGTTATTTGTCTAAATATTTTATGTTTATACTTTACTATACTACTTTTTCATAACTGTAATTATATCTATTATAGAATTACTTAAATGTTCTAACATCTTATGTAATAAGTTTATAGATCTATCACTTTCATTTGAAATAATGCTTAAAACTTGTTTCAAAAATTTAAATTCATAGCATTATATCATTTACTCATTCTTAAACGTATTATTTTCGCAAGCAGTTTTATAATTTCAAATTTTTTAGTAAAAAAAAAAGCAATCAAATTTTATTGTGTAATTCTAAATATTTTAATAATAAAGTTATAAAATTTATAATTTATAGCAAAATATAAAAATGTATACCCTATATAAAGTGGCATGTAAAGTTTCATAATTAGTAGTGATCGTGTACAAAACTAAAGAGAAATTCAAAATGTTATAGAGATGTTACATTAACTTTTAAGGGCCATATAAAGAACAATAATAGACTTTACGGATTTTTTTCCATTTATACATTGTCTATAAAATTTTAAATATGGAAAAAAAAGATTTAATATCCTGTTATTTTCACTCTTAACAGCCAATCAAAACTAACAGCAATAGTGTTTATGGCACTTAAGAATGCATGAAAAGATAAGTTAGACATACAAATGATAATCATAAGCCATGAGACGACACCAGTTTGTCTAGATTGTTGAGCTATGACACTACCTGTGACAATTCTGACACACTGAATGGTTAGTTCAGTGAGAATGGTTTAAAAAAACTAATCTCTGTATGCAAATTTAACTATAGTTGTAGAAAATGTAGGCTTAAAACGTTCATTCTGGATTTTATTTGTCTTAAATTTAGATTTATATAACAGATTAACACTGTCATTTCATATTGAGATGTGTTTATATGATGTTTTTAATAAAAGAAACACAAAGAAAAGAGAATTCCATTTATTCATTATTAACATTATGTAAATTTAGAATATAAATTGCTAAAATAATTCTTATTTTTGCTTATGATTTTGTGCAATTATAAAATTGTTTATACATTAACTGTTTGGAGTTGTTTCGACTGTGCCATAGAGAGAAATCATTGGTGCGTTTAATGAGATACACTGGCCTCTGCCAAAGTTTATTGACCTGATACGACTCCCTTATTCATGACATAATCCTGGTTTCCTTCACATGTTTTATTACGACTCGAATTTAAAACGGTTTCAATTTGTAAAAATATATTCTCTTAATTATAATTAGAAACGTGTAACGAAATTATTATTATTATTTCATTTTTAAAATAAAAACTGGCATTTTAAATATATAAATATAAATATTTTTATGTAAAAAGTCATAATTGCATGTATTCAAAGTAAATTCTAATGAACGCTTTTTTCAATTAAAAATTTTAAAAATTTACTGTTAATTATGTCTTATCTAAGCTCAATAAACTTAATTATAAGGAACGTTTCTTAATAAAAATTATAAAAAATTATAAAATATGTTATAAAATGTAATAACAGATATTTAAAAATATAATAATCAAATAATTTATTACATTAAACATTTTTATAACTGTATAATGTTATTATTTTATGAATTTAAATGCAGTATAATATTTAACATTAAGATTTATGAAATGTTCTGATCATTTCATATAAAACATTTAATAATTTGGAATTAATAACGCAAAAAGAACTAGAAAAACATGTTAAAATATGTTCTTAAGTCAATGGAACTATACTGAACATTATTTCTGATTATAAAAGTCCGTAAAGATCTATAATCGTCAATTAGATTAAATTATTTTTAATAGAAAAACCATTATTAATCAAATATAACAGTAAGAAAAGTGTCTTAAACATATAATTAAACTGTAATGTAGAATTAATCCAACATATTGTAATAGTTAATCCTTTAATCTAATAAATAGAAACTGCATAAAAGTAAATGATAGTCAAATAAATATACTGAATATAATACTAAGTAATGAGTTATATAAATGATGAATACGTATTATAGAAGAAAGAACTCTGAGAATAATTGTCTAGATAATTCTAATAGTTATAATTTTTTTTTTCTACATGAAAGAAGATTCATAATTCATCAGATTTAATTCATTTTCAGAAAAAACTCAATGGCTACATTCATATTTCATTTTGTAATTTACACAAAAATTCATTTCGGGTTTGATACTATTCAGCATCGCCTGTTTTTATAAGATTCTGAATTAAAATGAATTTTTATGTAAATTATGAGACAAAATATGAATTAAAGGCGGTTGGATTTTGTCAAAAAGCATACAAAATCTGATTATAAATTAATCCTTAACAAAAAATATGTATATACACTTTATGTAGATGAAAGAACTTACATATTTCGTTAAACTTTACAAAAGCTTTTAACAAATATTTCCAGTGCTTTGTTTACTTTTATCTTTTTCATATTCTTTCAGTTTCAGTCTAATGATCTTAAAGCTTTGTCTTTTATTATTTATAAATTAAAAAAGTACAAATGTATTAAATTGTATTGTAGTAAAAAAAAAATGTTAAATTGTCTGCTTCGGCTTATGCCTATATTAAAAAATTGCAAACAAAATAAAAGATTAATTCTGAATGAATAACTGTAGTAAAAAGCCCAATGTTTATCTAAAATAAAGTAATAGTATATCTATTAGAAAACTATGCACTATTGTACAATGATCAGTAGTTTCTTAATGAATATGTTGTACTTAATATAACAAATCCCCGAGGCAATTGTTCTCAGTTCAAGGTTGTGTCATTCAGCATATCAGAATTGGTCCTGAAGCACGAAATTTAAGTAATTGTTTTTTATTTAAAACATTTTTGCTCCTCCATTTTTTAATTAATAAGTATGTTACACTGTATAATGCACACCATTTTCTTTACCAGTTAATAAGAAAATCAACATTTACCATAAAAAATTCCTTAGCTTTAAAATTGAAACTTATTTTCACTATTTAAAAATATTAATATTTTAACTTTATATGTAACTTTATTCAATATATTTTCTTGCTGTTATGAGAGAGAAGCGCAACTTATTATTGCTTTTAAAGTTATTGTATTACTTTAATAAAATTAATATATATTTTCACTCTATTCAATAAAATGTTGCAGTTTTTTAAACGTTTCTTTTACCTATTCACATTTAGAATTTTAATATTTTCAATAGCCTTCAACAACAAAGAGTGTACAGATTTCATAAAAACTACATATTACTTCTTGAATAGAGTAGGACGTACAGTACAAGTACACTTTTCAAAAATTGTAATCACTAGTATAATAGAACATACTTTTAATATAATCCTAAAAATTATTTGGTTGACTTAGCCTATATATATATATATATATAATACATTCTTTACAATGGAATTTAAGAAAATTTTGAAATTGTTATTGAATTTTCTATAATATTCTAATTGTAAAATGTTTTTATATTTACTACTTAAAAATATATAAATTTACTTTAAAAGTATGTGAATAAATTGATAGTAAAATGATTGCAGATTATTGTATAAATTGGTATAAAATTAAATAATGATGATGCTGTTATAAAGTTCTTTATTGGCTTCATTTGAAAATTTTATAAAGCTTAATTAATTAATCATTAAATATTTTAATCGTTCCATATAATTAAATATGTATTTTTTTTAATTATTTAGGTTGTTATCAAGTTACAAATATCCAACCAAGTTCTAATTCGAATGTATCGCAAGAAAATGAAGCTGTTCTACCAGCCAGCCTTACGAGACAATTATATATTCAATATTTAGATCTAACCGATTGCCAATTGTTAGACGACAATGGATTAAAGACAATAGTAAGGAACTGCCCTCAACTTACTCATCTTTATCTTAGAAGATGTGTTCAAATAACCGACGCGGGTGTCAAACACGTAGCTAGTTACTGTGTTGCTTTACGCGAATTAAGTGTTAGTGATTGTCTACAGATTACAGACTTTGGAATGTACGAACTGGCAAAATTAGGACCGAATTTGCGTTATTTGAGTGTGGCAAAATGCGACCAAGTTTCCGATGCCGGAATTCGTCAAATCGCTCGGCATTGTTACAAACTAAGATATCTGAATGTTCGTGGCTGTGAAGCTGTTTCGGATAACAGCGTAGAGGTATTATCTAGAAGCTGTCCACGTTTACGAGCATTAGATATAGGAAAATGTGATGTTACTGATCACGGTTTAAAACTTCTTTCCGAGAGTTGTCCAAATTTAAAAAAATTAAGTGTTAAATCGTGTGATTTGGTTACAGATAACGGTATACAATCCATAGCGTATTACTGTCGTGGTTTGCAACAGCTCAATATACAAGACTGTAGAATAACTATTGAAGGATATCGTACTGTTAAGAAGTTCTGTAGGAGATGTATTATAGAACATACTAACCCTGGATTTTATTAATATGTAACGGATAATTAGAAAAGTTTTATTTAAAATGTGAAAGGGAATGGTTTGTGCCATAAGGCTGTGTGAAAGATATTATTGATAATGACAGATTTAATATTATCAGTAGGCTTTAATCAAGAAACAAATTATTAAAATTATCGCTCAATTATTATTTGTTGATAAATAATAGCAAAAAAAAAAGAAAAAAAATTTAACTAAAATATTTGTATATAATAGAGTGGAAAAAAAATATATTTTTTAAATACTGTGATCAACTATTCCATTTCATTTGATCAGTTATTAACCAATCATCTCGATAATTTATAATTGTGATTAACAGAATGGGAAAAAGGAAAATATTCAAATATTCCTTAAATCGAATATTGTACTTAATATAGGCCTATATTTTATGACAGTTTTTAATATCGTTCCAAGTTAAGCAGATAATTTTAATTGTGGATTTGTTATAGCCAGGAATTTATTACAAGTCGAAGGAAATTACTGCCTATCAGAAGCCAGTTTATATAAGAAGATTCTATTGCCTTATTAGGAACATATTTTAGTTCCTTGCCATAATTTAATGCCATAGTCCTACCAGCAGTTCCTCAAGAACCGAAGATAATCCAAAATTGTGATATGCAATAACTGTTCTAAACTGTATCTGAGTTTAATTATAATTAATATTAATATTCGTATTGTCTTAAAGACATTAATTATCGATTATAGGTTAAAAAATCGACATTTTTTAAAGAGAACAAAAAAATATTTTCATAGTGTTTCCGATAAAATATAATTAATTAAAATGTGCAAGTAATCGATATTTTTGTTTCGTATATTGTTCGTCGACACAATGATTTTAAATATATGAAATATTAAATAATTATGAAGACATAAAATACGAGCGGAATTGTCTCCTTCAATTAATTCTGAATGAATAACTGTAGTAAAAAGCCCAATGTTTATCTAAAATAAAGTAATAGTATATCTATTAGAAAACTATGCACTATTGTACAATGATCAGTAGTTTCTTAATGAATATGTTGTACTTAATATAACAAATCCCCGAGGCAATTGTTCTCAGTTCAAGGTTGTGTCATTCAGCATATCAGAATTGGTCCTGAAGCACGAAATTTAAGTAATTGTTTTTTATTTAAAACATTTTTGCTCCTCCATTTTTTAATTAATAAGTATGTTACACTGTATAATGCACACCATTTTCTTTACCAGTTAATAAGAAAATCAACATTTACCATAAAAAATTCCTTAGCTTTAAAATTGAAACTTATTTTCACTATTTAAAAATATTAATATTTTAACTTTATATGTAACTTTATTCAATATATTTTCTTGCTGTTATGAGAGAGAAGCGCAACTTATTATTGCTTTTAAAGTTATTGTATTACTTTAATAAAATTAATATATATTTTCACTCTATTCAATAAAATGTTGCAGTTTTTTAAACGTTTCTTTTACCTATTCACATTTAGAATTTTAATATTTTCAATAGCCTTCAACAACAAAGAGTGTACAGATTTCATAAAAACTACATATTACTTCTTGAATAGAGTAGGACGTACAGTACAAGTACACTTTTCAAAAATTGTAATCACTAGTATAATAGAACATACTTTTAATATAATCCTAAAAATTATTTGGTTGACTTAGCCTATATATATATATATATATAATACATTCTTTACAATGGAATTTAAGAAAATTTTGAAATTGTTATTGAATTTTCTATAATATTCTAATTGTAAAATGTTTTTATATTTACTACTTAAAAATATATAAATTTACTTTAAAAGTATGTGAATAAATTGATAGTAAAATGATTGCAGATTATTGTATAAATTGGTATAAAATTAAATAATGATGATGCTGTTATAAAGTTCTTTATTGGCTTCATTTGAAAATTTTATAAAGCTTAATTAATTAATCATTAAATATTTTAATCGTTCCATATAATTAAATATGTATTTTTTTTAATTATTTAGGTTGTTATCAAGTTACAAATATCCAACCAAGTTCTAATTCGAATGTATCGCAAGAAAATGAAGCTGTTCTACCAGCCAGCCTTACGAGACAATTATATATTCAATATTTAGATCTAACCGATTGCCAATTGTTAGACGACAATGGATTAAAGACAATAGTAAGGAACTGCCCTCAACTTACTCATCTTTATCTTAGAAGATGTGTTCAAATAACCGACGCGGGTGTCAAACACGTAGCTAGTTACTGTGTTGCTTTACGCGAATTAAGTGTTAGTGATTGTCTACAGATTACAGACTTTGGAATGTACGAACTGGCAAAATTAGGACCGAATTTGCGTTATTTGAGTGTGGCAAAATGCGACCAAGTTTCCGATGCCGGAATTCGTCAAATCGCTCGGCATTGTTACAAACTAAGATATCTGAATGTTCGTGGCTGTGAAGCTGTTTCGGATAACAGCGTAGAGGTATTATCTAGAAGCTGTCCACGTTTACGAGCATTAGATATAGGAAAATGTGATGTTACTGATCACGGTTTAAAACTTCTTTCCGAGAGTTGTCCAAATTTAAAAAAATTAAGTGTTAAATCGTGTGATTTGGTTACAGATAACGGTATACAATCCATAGCGTATTACTGTCGTGGTTTGCAACAGCTCAATATACAAGACTGTAGAATAACTATTGAAGGATATCGTACTGTTAAGAAGTTCTGTAGGAGATGTATTATAGAACATACTAACCCTGGATTTTATTAATATGTAACGGATAATTAGAAAAGTTTTATTTAAAATGTGAAAGGGAATGGTTTGTGCCATAAGGCTGTGTGAAAGATATTATTGATAATGACAGATTTAATATTATCAGTAGGCTTTAATCAAGAAACAAATTATTAAAATTATCGCTCAATTATTATTTGTTGATAAATAATAGCAAAAAAAAAAGAAAAAAAATTTAACTAAAATATTTGTATATAATAGAGTGGAAAAAAAATATATTTTTTAAATACTGTGATCAACTATTCCATTTCATTTGATCAGTTATTAACCAATCATCTCGATAATTTATAATTGTGATTAACAGAATGGGAAAAAGGAAAATATTCAAATATTCCTTAAATCGAATATTGTACTTAATATAGGCCTATATTTTATGACAGTTTTTAATATCGTTCCAAGTTAAGCAGATAATTTTAATTGTGGATTTNTTTAAAATTGTTCTATTTATAGTCTGTAGTCTATAGTCAACGTTATCCGAAATGATTAAATGTCTTTTTGTAATAAATGTTTAACTACAAAAGAAATAAATGAAGAATGAAAACTTAATTATAATATTAAATAAATAAGAGAATTGTATTATTCCTAATTAAGAACATATTTACTGAAACAGCAATGAATGTGCAAGCCTGAATATTGTAATGTTCACTATATATAAAATTAAATTCTCAAAAAATATAATTCGAAATTAATATAGATATTTCATGATAAATGTATACATACATTTATTGTGAAAAATATGTGAAAATATTTATATAAAAGCACAATAAATTATGTATATACAAGAGTATATAAGTTATGTTATATGAGCTCAATTCAGTTCAATGTCAACAAGAATTTTCTTGAATTGTTTCAAATTTAAATTTAAAACTACTCTTGTAGTGCATTATAACTAGTCATTAACGATTTTGATGTCACATTCTTGATACTCACCTTCTTAATCCGATAAACTTCATAATACTGGACTAACCAGTTACTAATGACGTCATTTTACATTATGTAAGCTTGCATCTTTACATCAAGTTAAGCTAGATTATTTTCGAGATGTAATTTGCAAATTTTTAATTATAAATTAATTTTTTAACTTTAAAAAAAAAGACTTTAAATTGTAAATGATGTATAGTTAACTACATAAAAACTATAAATCTAATAAAATTATAAATACGATTTAAATATAAATAAAATCAATTTTCAAAATTAATTAATTGAGTTTTGCAATTGATAATTTATAAAAATATAATTACTTCTTGCATTAAATTAATCAAACTAGATAAATGTTTGTCAAATCAAAAATAAATTAAATTCTATCGATCTATATTGGGAGTTCATTGTAGGATTAATTAACTAGTTTGTCCAACGACTATAAAATAAAAAATTCCCAGAAAAATATTGATAACTAATGGTAAGTGTTCATGAATTTTTAGCTTTTTTATTAGTACTTTTTATATTTATTTTATATTCATCCATCTATCTGTTTGTCTTTGTTTATTCACAGTTTCTTATAAACAGTAGGAGCTAAATTAATATGAATTGTAGTATACTAATAAATTTCACTATTTAAGGTTTTTGATATATTCTTCCAATTAACTTTCATAAAAATTTAATTTTTGATTGTTTAAAAGCAGGACCGTCGAGACGAAGAAAAACTGGGACTGTATCGCTAGATCCCAGAGTCCTGTTTGGGCCTATATAATTCAGAGTCCGAACAAAACTTTATATAATTAAATTTTAATTATAAAGTCCAGATAATAAATTTAGGTAATTTCAAGTGCATAAAGAGAGAAAAATTATGTGATAAGTCGAGAGCATTACATCGAAAGAAGGTATAAAAGGGGCGAAGCTCTAATCGTAATCGCTTTCCATGGTTCTATCCACATATTCATTATAAAAAAATTTATTTACCTAGTAATTGTTTTTCTAATTAATAGATATAATTTAACAAGATAATCTCTTATGATATTTTAATTAAGTTCTAAGCTTTTTCACAGAAAAATTATAAATTAGTCCGTAAGTCTTTTAAAAACAATAAAAACATGTGAAATTCTTTATCTGTTGTTATAGCCAGTTTATAGTTATAATTTAGTTCAATTACAGAAAGTTTTATTTGGGACCCCTTTTTTAAAAATGTTAATTAGTTGTTTCACCGTATCAAATATCTTTCCTATTATAAGACCATTTATTGTTGAAAAATTATCATTGAATAAATAATTATAAAACAATACATTTAAATCAGAAAATAAGCATTTATGTCTAAAACAATAAGAATCAACGTGTTGTTACACTCTATTGTCTGATGGATTTTGTGGAAAATTCTATTTCTTAAAGAAATGAAAATTAATTAAAAATAAAAGTATATTTTATTTTTAATTACATTCCAAATAACTAATTATGTTTCACGTAAATATATCTAATTTTTCGATGGTAAATTATTTTGAAACAGCTGATATTTTAAAGGACTGAATATTCAAAGGAAAATACAGAGTATTGTACAATAATTATGATATTTAATGTACTATAAAACCTCAGACCCTCACAGCTATCCTCATGAGTTATAACAAATTATCATTTTTAGCTAAAAGCAATATTTCAGAAATAATTCGTTTTATTTATTTACTCTTTCCGCCCTGTGGACACTAAGAGGTCTTTTTTCCCATACTCATCGTGGATTAAGACAGTTCCATAATAGGGCGGCCTAGTGATGGGACGGGTCACTACATATCTCGAACAGACCACGCCGAAAAAATTCGTCTAATTTTTTGACCACCCGGATTCGATCCTGGATTTCTCAGAGCAATAAGCTGATACGTTAACCACCTCCAAAAAAATCCATTATGATAAAATGATTCGGTGATCAATGACGGTTTCAGGCATATGCAATTTACGTTTCGTCTAGGATTTCGTACTTTTAATCTCCCTAGATACTCATAAATACAAGTACTTGTTAATATTCCGTTCTTATACAGTTCTAAGAATCTATTTATATCTTAGATATTTTGCAATATCATGTGACATGGACTTTATATAAACTTATATAAAGAGGCCTAGCAAGTACATGTTAGCTTATGGTTTCGCACAAACACTTAAACAACGAACAACTTAATGCAAGACACGGATTTTTGTTATTTAAAGCCGTATATTTTTAATGACCAATCAAATCTAATCCAATTACAAATACGTAAAAAATATCTAACTGCATAAATTAAATAATAATAAATTCTGCATCAATAAAAAACTTTCTTTATTTTTAATTATTTATAAAATAGCCTTGAGTGTAGATTATATTTTCTAATTACTTAATTATAAATTTGGCCAATTACAAAATCTACTAAAAATTCAATTTAGTTGGAATATAATACATTTATTTTATACTTTTTTATTATTCATTTATTTAACTTTATTTATATTTTAAAGAATTATGTATAAATTTATCTTATTTCACAGTATGTTAGTCTACTCCTAGTGCTTTTTTCCTCTATTTTTTTCTTCCTTTGAGTAATAATTACTCGTAATAAGGTAGTTCAAATCAAATTTATTTCGAAATAAATCACTTTATCTACAGTTTAAACAACTCGAAGCTAAATGCATACTACGAGTCAGATTAATGAGAGAATCGAAAAAAATACGCTTTTTCCTTCTTTTTCTCATTAAATCTGAAAAAGAAAACAATAAAAACTGTACAGTTTGCAACGTTTAGTAAGATACATGATCCTATTATGGTCTTGCTAATCTTTGACATTTTTTTCTAAGAAATTAGACTTACGAAAAAGAAAATTTCATGACCCCATTCAATAAAAAAACTATTAATGCATCACTGAAAAAATCAACATCAGATTACTGCATCAGAGTTGTCAAAAATAAAACATTTTCGGAAAAGTATACTTTACATTAGGCCATATTTGGAACTCGTGTTCTTTTTACGACCTATATATAAAACATTGTAATTAACACTTTATGATTAAAATAAACATTTATTTCTTGAGAATAAAAAAACCAAACAGTCTTCATTCCTAAAATAAATTTAACAAAAGCCAACTCTAGTTAGAAAACAATAGAAAATTAAAATTTAGTCTATCTGCTCCTTATTTTATGATTTGCCTTTCCTCCATCTAAATTAAATCGATTGCAATTTATTTTTTGTGTAAAAACACAATCTGATAAATGACAGACTACTAGAGCCTGCCTAAGCTGTAATAAGAACTCAACTAATTTTATTTAATTAAAAATTTCAAAATAATAAAATGCAAATTAGAAAAAAGCAATTATACTAATATGAATTACAATAGTTACTCCATTCACTGACATAAAATCAAACTAAATTCGAATGAATTACTTTACCGCTTAAAATTTTTAAAGTATTTTCTTTTAAAATGAAAATCGAAACCCTGTTTGTATATTATTAGATCTAATAATCCTAATTATACATTATACTGCAAGGATCAGACAGAAAATGTATAAGGAGAGGAACCCTCCTTCAGAAGGATCGTTAATACATTTCGGATATATACGTTCAGTCAGTGTCGGATTAAGTCTCTAACGAATCCTAGAGAAAATTTAAATTAAGGCCCCATTTAAATAAGTTGCTTCTAAAGAAATCTGAAATAATGTCACTTAAAATTTTTATTAATAATAGAGAATACAAACACTAATACAATATATGTACAGTATGCAAATTTGGGGTTATTACGTACACATAACTCACACATACTTTACACTAGTACAGTATGTAGCACCGAATCCGATTTTATTACTTTATCCTTTATAACAAATATTATTTATTACGATGACATTTATTTGTATAAATATTCTATATTATTAAATATTTATTTTTAAATATTATTCTTTATTTTTATTTTTATTTTTTTTCTGTACTGAAGTCGGGCCCCTCCGAATTATGAACCTGAGACATTTGTCTTATTTGTCTATTGGTTAATCCGGTTCACTGCGTTCAATATACTGTATTTGTATCAACTTAATAAATATATAGAAATACAATGAATTTCTTGATTATTTTCAAACTTACAATTATGAATAAAAGTCTAAACGTTTTAGGACTGAAATCTAGGAAATTTTCAATAGGAGAACGAATATTTTATAAGAAGCTTTTGTTTGCTTTGTAAGTAATAAACGGGGAAAAATGTAGACTGAAAATAATTCGAAAATATTATTTTTTGTGCTATTTTTAGATATAAAAATATTTTCTTTCTTACCTCTCTTCAAAACAGTGTTTGCTTTAAAGTACACATCCTCGAAACTTTTATATTGCATGACATATCAATAAAAACAGTTGCGAGTGGTCACACTTGAAGTTTTAAGTCCTGAAGTTACCTGATCAGCAAGTTTGAATATGCAGTGACACAGTTCAACAGAGCCCTTAAATTTAAATTTTTAAATCTTCATGCTGACAATTTATGAAGGAT